TACCCAACAATAATGTTAATTGGAATGGCTTGCTATTAGAAAGAAACTTCCTTACTTCTTCCTGCTATTATTATTAGCTAAACCAGTGTTTCTCAACCTTGGGAACTTTAAGATGTGTGGACATCAACCCCCAGATGGCTGGCTGGGGAATTCTGGGAGTTGAAATCCACACATCTTAAAGTTCCCAAGGTTGAGAAACACTGGTTTAGCTAATAATAATAGCAGGAAGAAGTAAGGAAGTTTCTTTCTAATAGCAAGCCATTCCAATTAACATTATTGTTGGGTATAGGCAGTTATTTTAAATGATTGGGGCTTTTCTCCACTGTCACATATGGGGCCTCTGAACTGAAGGTGATGATTGATTTTTCGAAAATTGAAAAAGCACATCACAATTCTAAAACTATTAGGAAATGACTTTAATGCTAACACTAAAAAGAAAGGAAATTAGAGAAAGGGCAGAAACAGTGAAAAAAAAAGTATGAGGTTTGGAAGGAACTAATAGAGTAGCAATAAATCTAACAACTTCATTGTACAATATAAGATTGCCAGAATTGTTGCCAAAAGTTGTATGTTATGTGGCCTTTGCCATATTTACTCTTGATCTTTCTCTTTTAAAAAGTTTTCAAGCCCAACCACAGGTATGATTACTTCATTTTTGCATTTAACATTTTTTTAAAACATAAATAGCATTAGGGAAACTTGACAGCAGGATCAAGAAATGAAGATGTAATTCTTGCCTTCCGTCTTAGAAGTCCTACTCTGCTCCTGCTATTTGCTTTAGGAAAAAATCTTGTTTGACAAATGGTGGCAGATTATCACTTATTGAGATACCAATATTAAGTCTCCCCAGTGAAGCTAATTGCATTTCATAAATATATTAAATGAAACATGTTCATTAACTAATAATCTACGTAATATATAAAACATACTGTTTTAAACACATATATTTTATTTTAAATAAGAAATAAGTTTCTTATTAAGAGTCCTTTAGTATGATAAAATATGATAAAATTTTAGTGCAATTTTGTCTGCATTTGTTGCATTTCAGTATCAAATATGAATTGTAATAAAAAGGCGTGAGACACTACATATAACTTTTTGTTTTAACAGTTCTTAAGAGGTGCTTTCCTGATTTCTCTACTAAAAATGGTGTTCTGACTGTGGCCAATCAAACTACTTTCAAAGATGGAAGAGGAAAAACACGGAATGTAACTGATCTCAGGGAAGCAGCAAAGTAGGGATTGTGTGTGTTTTTATATTTGCCTGTTCAACTTTGCTTGACTAGTTGTCATATAAATGCATTACCATGGATTTTTTTACAGCACTAATCTTATGGACATACCTCCATATAGGAGAGGAATTTCATGATTTTGATTTCATTTGTTTCAGGAACAAACAACTTTATATGCAAATTATTTCCTTATCCATGATGTGTCATTTATTTACTCTTTATTTTTAAAGCAACTATACCAGGAGATTTGGATCAATGACATCTGAGAGAAAGGGAGGCCTAACCTTTTTCCAAATTACATCTATTATAACACAGTGAATTCACAACCTTGATTATGGAAGCTGACTTCCCAAACAATTGTATATAGATAAGCTCAATTCTGTTGAATATGAACTTGTTCCATTGAATATGAACTATAACATACCATCTTATTTGGAGAAGGGGAATGGAATGAACCTTTAATTCATATTGGGCAGAGAATAAGGAAGATGACCTTGACAGAAATAGGCCAGATCCATTACCAAAGCAAGAAAGGGGAAAACATGGCTTATGTCCAAAACAAGAAGATGGTATGGGCAAGAGACTTAGGCAGATACCTCCCTAATTCACATGAGTATTGGGAGGGGGAATAAAGCACAGTCAGATTTGCAAGGTTCTGTTACTATAGCCAATGTTAACAGAAGTAGTTTTAGCCTTTTTGTGGAGTTGATTTCCTGGTTTGGTCTATATAGTGGGGCTGCAATGTTGTCTCAGGTGTATATTCATACCCACCTAAACTATTAATCAGATGTGAACAAGCGCGTGGGTTTGTGTTTTTCTTTCTGGTCTTCTTTTGGGGCAGCTATAGGAAGAGTTCAGCAACTTTTTCCCCCACTGTTGATTAATCATAGTCATTATTATTATTATTTGATTTGATTTTTATCCTTTCTTTCTGTTCAAACAAGATATTAAAAGCTGCTTAATAAAAGCAACAATTCATTCATTTGACCTCCATCCTGCTTTTCCTGCAGGAGTTTTCTGTTTCCTCCATTTTCCCTTCATGAGCACTTCTGTGGTATAGGTTGGGCTGAGAGAAAGTGATTGGCCCAAAGCCACCCACTAAATTTCCATGGTTAGGAGTGGTCTTGAACCTGCATTTCCTTGGTCCTTATCAACATCTTAGTCACTATAAAGGCTCTCAAGCATAAAAAAGATATCCTTAAAAATATAACCCAAAGCTGCAAACTTTCCATCTTGTACAATCTTCAAAATGGTTAATTCAAACAAGCATAAACCATGGTTGACTTTCTGAATTCAGATGACACGGCCATCTATAGTTAACCAATATTAAAACCTTACAGATGCTTCCCTAGAGCTGTGCTTATATTATAACTAGTAGTCGTAATGTTGCTTAGATATCCTACAGTGTTTTTGTAGCTTTAATAATTGTTCGGAAATGTTAATAGTTTAATAGCATAATCTGTATGTAATATACACAGAACTAGGTCCATTGAGTACATATAGAATTAGAACCTAAAGTCTTGCCTTTTCCATATGATTTATATTTTCCTGTAGCTTATTATTGCTTTGGGCACAAACCTCAATATAATATAGTTTTATTACTAGCTATAACCTCTAATGTTCCATTTTTCCAATAAACAAAACACAATGAACAAAGTTGTGATTTAATTTTTTTTAATGATAAGATGTACTTTTATTACAGTAAGCTCTTAAGTTGCTTGATTTAAATAAGTGGTACATAATCTAAAACTTGTTTTCCTTTCCTTTTCCTTTTTAAAGTGGTATCAATAATGTTCTTGATGCAAGATCAGTTGGGATGAAAATTTTTGAAGACTATGCGAGCTCTTGGTACTGGATTTTAATGTAAGTTCTTATTCATCAGAAGCCATACCGTCAGCATGTAAAACAGTGATAGCTGGAGATGCATGCAAAGTGGGGGTATGGCTTCCCTTCATTGCCTTTATGCATTCTTTTGTGCATTCCTTATTCAGTTCTTTTATATGAATTAGTTCTATATTCCTGGTTGTCCTGCTGCTTTGGCTCTCAATGAATTGGGAAAACAGTGGAAACCCCATACTTTAAGCCAGTATACAATACTCTCGGGTTAAAGTTTTTTTGTCTATGAACAGAGGAATGGAAGAGAGGAGACTGGTTGCTCTTTTTTTTTTTAACTGCTGTATTTTTGTTTTTTGTTTTTTCCCCCAGAGGGCTGTTTATTGCAATGGTAGTCAGCTTGCTCTTCCTTGTGCTTCTGAGATTCATAGCAGGGGTTCTCTTCTGGATTTTCATCTTTGGTGTAATTGGGATTATAGGATATGGTAAGTGCCAAATGCTACATACAGCTACCTAGGATTTTGTTATTAATACTGAGACAAGCAGAACTGATAATCAGTTAATTCTATACTATCTCACCCTTTCCCCATTAACTCACTCTGTACTGAGCCATTCTATTGGTCCTGCGCTTATAAATTCCCCTCTAGGTACCCTCTTCTTGTTACAAACAAGCTAGATGAATGTTAAATGGTCCAGTATGTTCTTCCTTCATCAGGACAATACCATATTTACTACTATGTATGCCAAGAAATAAAACACCATAGTCCTCTACCATCATGCAGCTGTTTACGTGTATGTATGTGTGTTTTCCTATATCTAGAATATAATATCACTATCTGTTTTTTGTTAGAGATTAGCCATAGGAGTAAGCAAATCTTTCCTATTTTGCTCATTTGGTTATTATATGTTGGCAAGTTCATAGTGATTGCTCCATGTTCTATCCTACTAAAAACTGAAATACAACATGATAGATTTATAGACACACTTAGTTTACAAGAATTTGAGGTGGTTTACAGTAATCCTGCTCCTTCTCAAAAATAGATAAATATCCAACCTCAACTAACTAACTAGGCAGGATATAAGGTTGGTTTGTGTTATAAGCTTTTCAAAAATGTATGCTTTTTACATAGACAGACAGACAAGTTATCTGGTTCATGATCTGTGACAATTTAACAACCTATTTCAGTGCATATTGGGAAGGTGAACCAGCTTCTTGATTTACAAATACCTGTACAGTTGTCAAACATGACCCACATATCATATGAATGCTCTGTTTTGACAGCAATCAGTGTAGAATATTCAGTATTCTTCATGTTTGATGTTGCTCTCTGATGGAACTTGCTTGAGATTTTTTTCTGCCTGAGACATGAGAGAAAATAGGCTCCACCTTCTCAAAATATCATTGGGAAATTTCATTTGGAATTTCAGTCATTTGTGAAAATACTGATGACTCTTTGAGTCAGGAAGCTATTTTCTTCAGATCAGAGTATCTACAGACACTGTAAGGTTTGTTTTGCTTTCTCTTATGGTATTTACTGGTTAGATTTATTAAATAACTCATAGAACGGTTAATCTCTGCTTGCCATACAAAATAAAACGTATTAAATTTTAAAAATAATGCAGTAAATAATTTGAAATCTACCATAGCATAAGGGTGCAAATCTCTGCCCGCATGACAAATGTGACATGTCATGAATTTTAAAAATTAAATGAAGCACTGGGAACAGGATCAAACCCAAACCACAAGAACTGAAATTAATACATTCAAAAAGTGTGGAAGAGCACAAGGATCCTAGTCTTTCACTAACAATCAAAAATAGAGACACCAGATGTTTTTTCCTCCAACAAGAACATACCAAAATCAGAGGCTACTCCTGTAAAAATCTCAGTGTATCTCTCTTATGCCACTCATAAATTTCTGATTGCATAAGTATATGAAAGAAGACTTTCAAAGATGTTTTTTGACCATGTGTATATATCAGAGGAAGCCTTCCACTGGGGGTTAAGTCCCAAGTCAAGCATGTAGTTTGGAGCTCTTATATTTGTGATTTGTTCGTCTAGCACCTTTCTGCCCAAAATATTCTCTTTGCTTTTGAAACAAACTATAGTACAGATTACCTAAAGGATGTAAATTGCTCTTTGATTCTGTTGTTTCCTTTTCAAAAGGTATCTGGCATTGCTACTGGGAATATGATCGCCTTCATGGAATACCTGGTTCTGACCTTACCATCTATGATATTGGATTCCAGACAGATTTCAGAGTCTATCTGCAACTGAGGCAAACATGGTTAGCATTTAGTAAGTGAATTTTTGAGAAACCTGTATTTTGACACACCTGCTTAATATTAATTTGAATAAACAGCTTTGTTGATGATTGATTGATTGATACCAAATGGAACATACTCCATGCTAAGCTTTGATTTGTTTAACCATGGCTTGACAAATAAGCTATAGTTGTATGAGTTTATCCAACACACTGAAACAAAAAATCAGTTAAGGGTACTTTGACTTAGTGCAATATGCAAGCTCTATCTCTGAAGACCGGATTTCCTAAATGCCTTGTTTGTATATTTATTTAATTGCATTTATATCCCACTACAATCTGAACTGACTCTCAGAGGTTTACATGATATAAAGAAGTTTAAAATATCCACAGTACAAATTGAAAATTGAAATAGAATGAAATCACTCCCCCGCCTCAGCCCCAATAATAGTAAGAAATAGCAAAGATAAAAGATGGCCAAGACTAAATAGAAGGCTTTTTGGAACAGCTCTGTCTTCAGCATCTTCTTGAATGTCATCAGGGATAAAGTTGGTCTTATCTCTACTAGGAGTTTTGTTCCAGAGAACCAGCACAACATTTGAAAAGCAGTGGCTCCTGGCCTTAGCTCCTTTTATTCCCCAAAGTTGGGAACTAGGAGTATGTTATCCCTAAATGACCTAATAGGTCAGGTAATTCTATTTGGGCCAGGTGGTCCTGCAGTGACCCAGGTGCCAAAGGACTTTATAGATCAAAAATAACACTTTAAATTACATCTAGAAGCCAATTGGAAGCTAGTACATCACCCATAGCATAGCTGTAATGTACTCCCAAGGTCGGGTGCTAGTTAGCACATAGGCTGCTACATTCTGGACTAATAGTAGCTTCTGATTAATGTTTTAGGGCAGTTCCATGCAGAGTGCATTGCAGTAGTCTAACTGGGTGTTAATGAGGGCATGAATTAATTGTTGCCAGGTCCTCTTGCACTAGGTAGTACTGCAACTGGTGCACCAGCTGGAACTGGGCAACAACTTCTCTAAATACAACACTTGCTGTTCTAGCAGGAGCCATGCGTCCAGAAGGTCCCTCTAATAATAAACTTGCTCCTTCAGGAGTAGTGCCTGTCCATCAAGAGACAACACTGGGATCAAAAGAGAGCCTTGTTAAACAAACAGTACCTCTTTCTTGCTTGGGTTCAACTTCATCTTGTTATGACCCATCCAGACCCTGGGAGCCTCTAGGCACTGGCTTAGGACATTAGTGTCATCTCCAGCACAGACCAAGGCAGTGATATAAAGTTGGGTATTGTCAGAATGCTGATATCTTACCCCAAAATGTCAGATGATCTCACCCAGCAGCTTCATATAGAGTATGGTCATGATGTCTGGGAATTATGGGATCTGTAGTCTAACACATCTGCAAGGCACCAAGTTGCGGATGGCTGTTCTGGAATATGCTTTCAGGTAATGTAAGATGCAGCCAACTTGTTGACTTTACTTGTTACCTAAAGTTAACGGATTGGAGAATGCATTATGGAACATAGCTCACACTCTGCTGCACCTGTGCAGGTAGGAGACATGGGAATAGACTGGGAAGATTGGGGCCAGTAGGATAAGTCACACTGAGAATCAGTGACAGCTGAGAGGAGGGAGAAGTGATGGAACTGGAAAGAACAGGGGACAATGGCAGATGCTGAAGAAAGAGAGGAAGATGTGTACCAGCCTTGTCCTTCCTTTCTCCTCCCTTCAGCCTTTGGCTTTTCCCCTACTCTTGCTACTCCTGGTCCACATGTGGACCAAAACAGCTCCATTTTGTTCTATTTGTGTATGAAAATATGTAAAAAATGCCTGTTTGGGTTCTGATATGGACCACCCTGAAAACAGTTGTTCTGTGTCCAAATATTTCATTTCCAGAATGTTTCACACCCCTAATAAACTCCTAATAATAATAGTGGATTCATAATACTATTCTCTTTTTAAACCATTGTTTCAAGCTCCTAATTATAATTGTAAGCTAAGAAGCTTGCTCTTTTTATATACATATAAAATGGAGAATGTTACAATTTCATGAGCTTTTATAAAATCTCTGAAATCATGAAACTCCTAATTAAAAACATAAGTATGCATCCTTGGGGAACATTTGTTTCTGGAGAAAATGAGGAAGTTGCCATGAGGAACCAATTTGCATAAAACATTTTCCACATGATTATTAGGCCCATCATGCAATTTTATGCTTCTGTACATTCTGCTATCATAGATTACTTTCAGATGCATCAGCAGTGTTCTCTCCTTGATTATCGAAGGTGAAGGATATTTGAATCATTGGACATAAAGCCCCTATCCATTTTTATGCAAATCAGTTCAATGTACAAGTCATGAAGATGAATATGTAGAAGTCTTCTTTGGTGATTAAGATGGGAGTAGGATCAATGAGAACACATGTCTGGCTGTATAAACAAGCTGACTGGAATATAAAGTTAGTACACTAGAAGTAGAACTTACTATGCCTGATGGGAACACTACAAGCAAACTATATGAAAATTATATTTTAAAAAATGAAACAAAATAATACAAAATACTGCATTTTACTGTCCCATATAAATAAATAAGTCTCTTAAAAAACATATGTATTATATTTTATTGAGCCTTCAGGCAAAATCAAATTGTAATGTCTCCCTTGTCTTCTGCTCTGGGTTGATAGTTATTGTATTCCAACATGTCTGGAGGATTGAGACTTAAAATGAAACATAGAACTTAGAAATAATTCCCATTATGTTCAATAAAATTCAATGTGAGTTTTCCTGCCTCTGATGAAATGGATTGTCCCTTTGTTGCTTTTACTCTGTTATTTTCTGAAAAAGAAAAAGAGAAAATATAAGATTTGAGTGTTATTTCTCATTTGCAGAATTTCTGAATCTAGACAAAAGTAGTCCTACTGGTATTCCAGATGGCTAAGTGCAAGTTAGTAAATATCAGTACATAAAAACTTAGAGATGCGTGGGTAGATGGATGGAAAGTTTGAAGTGAGAACCATAATTGTCTAAATTTTCACATAGACGTTGCATTCCTGCTAATTTCAAATCAAGTTATATACATTCTGTGACACTTCTTTAAAATTATTTGTTATGCATTCAATTTGGCAAACATGAACATCCATTAAGAATAACTGAAATTCAGGCTGCTTTTAGTCATAAATAACAATATCCAGAAAGAATAATAAGCGCTGGGATACAGTAAATAAGAGAAGAAAATTAGACATGTTTAAGCATTGATTATATTCAACATCTCCAGATACTGTGAACTAAAATAGCAAAAGGCAGTCGGTGAATAAGAACTGTCTAATTGCAAACAGATAGTTCTTTACATAATCATGTTAAGTCTAAATTACATTTAAAGCAAAGCATTGAATTTAAATTGCTTTGCTTTTAGATGAATGGTTTTCTTCATCAACTTCTTTATACTCTATGCCGTAATATTCACTGAGGAGAAGCCTTACATGCACAAAATTAAGCACATAAATACAATTGTGATAAGAGAATACAGTCTTTATCACATACATGCTTTAGTGCAGTGTTGTCCAAACTTGGCTACTTTAAGATGAGTTGACTTTAACTCCCAGAATTCCCCAGCC